CACTCTGACATCCTCTGAGACTTCTCTGACAGCTCTGAAAACAGATCTCACTCCTGGCATATTAGCAGAGCCGAAAGCAACAGTTAGATCTTGCCATTACCTACAGCTGATTTCGTTGGAAAGCATCTTGTGTCGTTCAGTCTTTGAACATGATTCAAGTTGGACTTTCAGCCTCCCAGGAAAATGACTTGTTCTTATGTCTAGCACCAGTAAGTGTGTGGTTCATAGGCTCACAAGGAAAACATAAGCACTAAAAACATTCTGTCGTGTGCTAACAAGTCCTGCACCTTACTGTCTACTGTTCAATTACCGATATGTTTGTGAGAGCAACCATGTTGTCTCTCAGCATTCATTTTGCCAAGCTAGAAAACACCCTCCTTTCTAGTCTCCTCTCACAAGCTATGTCTGTGGTTATTCCAATCCTCTTTTCCCTGCAGCTACTCTTGCTTCCACATCTCCCGCCTTTACATGACTGTCTGGACCTGTACACAGGCATCTATCTATCTATCTATCTATCTATCTATCTATCTATCTATCTATATATCTATCTATCTAATCTCCTGCTACCCTTGCAAAATGTGCAAAATGGTGTTAGCAATCCCCTCTCCCCGTTGAAAACATTTTGTGATATTTGAGCTTTCCATGCTCTTATCTTATTGATTCTTGACAGAAATCCTAAAAATTATTGTCTATATATAAATACATTGCTCATTTTTAAAGGGGGGTCCTGAGTTTACTGAAGAATTTCCTGTTTGCTTCTTGCATTTTACATTATTTGCTCATTTCAATTATTTCAGACCTGTTGATATCATTTTTCTTCTTTCTGTCAAATTCCAGCCCTTTCTCCTGCTGCTGATGCTCTTTAACCGTGGATTATCTGCTCACATCATTAGTATACAAGATTATTAAAAAGCTACTAATTAATTAGAGGTCACAAGATCTGTTCCAAGGGATTCTCACCACTCTGCCTCCAGGAGAATGCTTCCTCATCCAGCACAGCCTATTTTCACAGCAGAGCAGTGACTTAAATATGTGTTTCTAATGGCATGGTATCTTCCTGCAGTTAAATTCTCCGTGTAGTCACAGTAATTAAGACCTCTTGGATACCAAGTACCTCTTTGTATCCTACAGCACACCAGGCACCACTTTCAGAACAGGATGGAAGATGTGGGTTATGCAGCATCTCTCAGAAACACCCCATTATTCCGTCTGTCCCCATAAACGTGGTGATATTCTCACCAGTTTGTATTTGCATACAGAAGGGTTGTGTCTGATGCAGCTTCCCCTCACTTAGCCTGATCCTGACCCCCATCCACAGGCTGACAGCCCAGCCCATCCCATCCCTGGCAGGTTCCCACCTCCCAGGAGGTGCCCAGTACCCAGGACTGGGGCTGCCCCTGTTTCCCCTGGCTGCCCAGATTTTCTCACTGGGGAGCTGGAAAAGGCTTCATCTAGATGGTGAGGTCCTGCTCTACCTCCCTAGGGGACCACCACACCTCTTGTCCTCAGGGAATTGCTGCTCCTCACACTGTCCCAGCACAGTTAAGTTGCAGCTCTCTAGTTTGAACTACTTTTCCCACTTTTTATCAACATGTGTTGTGTTCATCCATACTTGTCTTCCGTAGGTCTGATACTGCATAATCATTTTTATTGCCCACATTTCTGCATACCACTTAACCCAGGGTCATGAACAGAATCATCTGCACTCCTATATTCCATACTATATTTCATGCCAGCTGGGGTTTGGAGGTGAAAAATCATGTTTTGTTGGAATCAAGTCTTTTAGTCATTTTATCTGTTCTATATTCATACACATATGAATATGAATATGCTAACATATTTTCCACTCAGTTTTTAGAGATACCACGAGCTATTTTGTTTGAAGATCTACAGTAAGAAAACTGTGAAATCTAAGCAGAGAAGAAATTAGTAGTTTGAAAAACAACAACTTGGAAGTGTGCATTTAGGTCTGGATCCAAGTCTGGTAAAATATCACCGTGGTTCATGTGGTACAGGTGAAGCGATTGAAATGTTTTCAGTATGAGGAAGACAAGGCATCTTGTGCATGGGGACCTCTATGGTGTCAAGGCTCCCAGGTCGGTGCAGCCTCCAGATCTGCCCAACACATAGCCACTGCACACATACATAAACATCATGTGCTCACAACCAGATGAATTTCCTGTTTCTAAGGAAATAAAAACAGGGAAATTGTTGGATCTTGGCTAAGTGGCTAACGCTGAGACCAAATTCAAAGGTAAGGGATTGCGACAGTCTGGATATAGGATACAAATTAATTCACATTGGATATAGCAGGAATTGAAACCTCTTAAAATTGCATGATTGTACTGTAACATTTTGTCCTGTCATACTTGCATTGTTCAAGTGGAAAAAAAAAGAAAGTTATATTATAGCTGGCCTTAACTGTCTCAGAGATGTCTGTAAAATAACCCTGTTCATCTCTGAGGAGGCAGAAAAGGGAAAGTTATTTTAGAAATTATGTACCAGTGATAGCAATCTTCTGGACTTTTTGGTATCTAGATTTTCAGCCCAAAGAGACAGGGATGGGATTATGCCAGGTCAGAGATTAGAGAAATACTACTTCTTTAGTCTGCTCCAGCCACAAAGGGAGGGATTTGGAGCCCAGTCTCACACTAGCAAATGTCACAGGTGGGACAGGCTGCAATGGCAGGAGTTGGGGATTCCCAGTCCACCTGTATTTCCACCTGCCATGTATGCTGGCAAGGCAAGCAAGGAAAAAGAGCTCTGCCTGTATGTATGTTATTGTTTTGTTTCCCTGCTACAGGTCTGGCCAGTCAGCATCATTTGCAAGGGAGGATCTGCCTCAGGTTTGGTACTGGATTATTTCCTTTGAAGGGGGAGTTAAAATAATTCATGCATTTGGAAACATAAGCCAACAACCAATTATTAGTATGTTCAACCGCATTTTAGACTGCCACTTCAAATGCCATCCATTCATTACCCAGCAGAAGGAACATTAAAAAAACCTGAGAATATTTTGTGGTTATCTGACAGACTGAATATAAGGCAGTCAGTGTGAAAGCCTTTTTTGAATGTCATACAGCAAAACTGAGAAAGATTGGTGGATTTTAAGTCAGAACACACCTGTTGCTCCAAAACTACTTGTTTTTCTATACCCTATATTACATATGGTAACCTTGGCAAAAGATGGTTAGTGGATGTGCAAGTAAATTTTTTGTGGACATGGAGTAGGACAAAGCTAAACTTCATCTCTAATTTGTTAAGGAAAATAAAATGGGCAATTCATCCCAGCAGATTGCTTTGTGGGAAGACAGGGACTCTATCCTGTCCTGTATGACCATTCAGGGACACACTCCAACCAAGACCCCAGTCTGCATCCCTCCCTTTCTCTGCCCGCTCCTTAGACCTTGCAGTGCCCTCCCAAAGAGGGGAAAATGAGCTTCAAGTGCCACTGGTGGTGTCCTGACTGGCACAGAGACACAGCTGCATCACAGTTGACATCACTAATTTCCCAGACATCCAAAGATGTGAGTCAAATCAAAGCCACTGCAGGAGCAGACAATTTTACAGAAATGAGAGTGCTCATGCATTTGTTTGGTTTTTGTGCTTCTCAGTCACATGAATAAAATCCTAGGCTTCTGTGATGCTTTTTCTTTCCCCCTTGCTTTTGCTTGCTTCTCCCTGCCCCTCCATACAGCATATACAAATATTTCAGCATATACAAATATTGGCTGGTTACCTAATTATAAACAGGGATGCCAGCATTATGAAAATATAGCTAAAATCTATGTCAGTGTCACCATTCAGCTACTACAGTAAATAAGATATTATGGTACTTTTTTATGGACCTCTTTATCTTAAGTGGTTTTTTTCACTCCTTGTATTATCTACATCTCCCTAGAGAACAGTTACCTACTGTGGAAGAATTCTCAAGACTGTAGCTTTTATTATCATTTAAATTGTCAGAAACATTAAGACATCATTGGTGACAACAGTAACAACTAACTAAAGCAGAAGGGAAGTAGTATTTTTCCATTATCTGTTTCTTTTCATTTAAATTTTCTGTGTGTCTTGAAATGAGGAAAAAAACTGTCTTCTGTCTTGAAAATGTTTCACAGCATTCGTTCTTCAGCCCTATTCAGAGGCTTCTTTAAGCATGAAATTATAAAAGTACTTCTTCATCCTATATTTGCCCATATAAGTAGACTTTGACTGGAAGATGTGTAATTATATAATTGTATAAAATTAATCTATTATCTGTCTATCTATCTATCTATCTATCTATCTATCTATCTATCTATCTATCCATCTATATTCAGAATGGAATATTAAGTGAATGGTGTTACTACAGTTGAGTAAGTCAGTAACAGGAAAAAATGTTCCTGATTTATTTTGCTATTTTTTCCTGACTGAGCACTGGGAAGCCCATTCCTCGATTTTATTTTTGCTTGATACAGATCAAACTGCTGAAAAAATCTTGAAAGCCAATTCTTCAGCTATTTGACTTTACACTTTTTGAGTGGGTTGCTGACAACTTGTTAAGTTCAGCATCAGAATAAGACTTTTAGAGTCCTAGTCTGGAGCTGCTGTTAAGTGACTCATTAAGAACATTTGACAGTCAGAATTTGGGCTGTTCTTTAACATTGATAGATACAAAGCATATTATTTTTCTTTTTTCGATGAACAAAAGTGTATTCCAAAGTCTAAAAATCATTACAGCAAATATAAAATTGCTATATAAATGTTTTATTTTGAGCAAACCCAACACTATTCACCTGCAGACTTTCCTTTGCAAATTCCCTCACATACAACTTTCTTGATATGATAATCTTTGTCCAGGAGATTATTATCAGAGAGAAAGAAAAGAGCAATGAATGACTTAAACTAAAACTGCAAAGCAGCATTTCAGTGACTTGAAGAGAAGCTAAGCATCATCTCATCAAAAAGTTAATATCTAATTTTTGACTGAAATATTTTGACTCGGAAGTATCACTCTTTATTTTTAACTTTCACAAACTACAGTTTTTCTAAGTCTGATTTTTATTAAATTATTTTCCTAGCCAACAGAATGGCAGAAAATATTGAGATTTTGAAGAAATGCAGAGAAATACACAAAGGAAAATTTCCATGTAAACTGGCATAAATTATGATGATTTCTAAATTATCTAACACCAATCAGAAAATATTTGACTGTTCCTCTGAAAACATTAGCACAATGTTCTGCCATTTTCATTAAGGCAAATTAATGTTTGAAGTTGTTAGGAATTAAATGGGGAGCAAAACAAAAAAGTATCTTTGTAAGTCCACAGAATGCTTGCATCTTGAACACAAACCAATTCAATCAATTTGGAAAACAGCTTGGTGTAGTTTTGAAGTCATGGTAAGGATGATTAGAAATAGAGAACAGATTTCATGTGCATATAGCCTGCAGCTCTTCATCTTGGAAAGGCAGGATTGAAGGAAGTCACCAAATAGTTCTACACAGTCTAACTAGCAGCCGAGCAGTAATTACAAGCTATTATGAGTGTAAGAACTAGAGGTGCCCCAATGTTTTCTATTAGGAAGAGCAACAAATAAAACTGCACTTACACAACTTACAAATAAACTGCAGAACTCATTATTGCATGACATAGAGGTGAGCGAGAGTTTAAACACATTCAAAACTGTTTCAGAGAGCTCCTGGGGAAAGATCTGCTGGCATGGTGTTGAATGTGATGGAAGGGATACAACCTCTAGCACCTGTCTGTTCTGAAGATGGCTTGAGGGCACCAATGAAGAATCACCCTCTCTATTTCCTTCCATTTCTTACATTTGTCCTATACATTTGCAGCTGATCCCTGTAGGAAATAATATTTGGGGCTGCAAAGACTTTTGACATGACCCAGAATACCAACTCATAGATCCTTAAGGAATACAAGTAAATTCCTTTAATTTTTTTTTTGAGAGTTAAACTTAATGAATCTCTTCACTATTTATATATTCATTAGTCTGATTTAGTCTTATTCAATTTTGTCATCTCTATTATGATAACAGCAAAATAACAACTAATCAAAGTACTTCCTATTGGCAAGATTTCCAAATACTGCAGTCGTAAAACCAACAATCTCAATTTCAGCAACACTATGTTTAAAGCTGCTGATACAACAGGCTTAATAATTGCCACATATGTTTTGCAAGACTTAGATCTGGGAGCCATCAGCATAGATCATTGCACAGAACATTTCTAATAAATTCAACTGTCTCTTGCATTTTTTTAAACATGATTGGACTCTGAAAATAGGTAGAATTCCCTAGTTTGTGAGACTGAAAATTTAAGCAATGGCTTGTGATTATTTGCTTTCTGCTAATAGATCTTATGAGGCAGATTGCTGAAATTAGTAATTTCTGCATACTCTAGTGTTTTGTGAAATGTAAAGTCAAGATGGAGTAAACAATACTTCATTGGTATCAGTGATGCTACAGCACATTACACCAGCTGAGAATCTGATCCTTCCAGTTGGGATGGGAAAGGGAGACCAGCTGTCCCTTACGCTTTTTCAACAAATTTCTGAAACACTAATGTTGCTATTAACAGAATTTACAATAAACTTGGTAAAGATGAACTGCAGTCACATCAGTTTCTCCCAGCGCTGACACAGCTTCTCTGTGCAAACTTGATACACAGGAGCCAGGGAAGTGTGGGCATAAAGCAATTATGGCACTTCTCTGTTTTGAGTTGCTTCTGTTGCTGTCAAGCTGTAAAGAAGCAAAGACTGGACGAATCTCATCCAAATTATTTTGGCCACAGGCTTTGTTCAAGTTTCTCTGGATAAAGGGTTTCTTAGAAACAGTTTAGATGAAGCAAAAGCTTTCCTGAAAGCTGGAATTCAAATCATCCATGTCATGCACTGGTACAAGTATTTCCCATGTACAAGCCCATGTACACCCCGCAATCTCTCGTTTCATAGCAGATTCCAAGTCTGTCGTGCTTCTGCCACAAGGTTTTAACAGACTTTTTTTACTCTCCTCTATATGAATCATTTTAAAGCCACAAGAACCAACAAGAAAAAGATACAAACTCACAAAAATAACCTCAACCCAAATTTCATCCTTCCAGAATATCCAGACCATCAGGATCTGCATCTTGGAAATCCATCCATTTAAAACTTCATCCAGTGGGAACTATTTCTGACAAATGTCAAGAGAAGAGACAAAGCAAATCCTACCCAAATCCCGCTCTCTTCTAGTCCTGAAAAGCAAAGCTAAATAGTTGGAACTGTCTTCTGGAACAATGGAAATTGCCAGACTTTCAGAGTTCCCCAAGAACTATTACTGACATCTCTCATTTGAGGATTTCCATTGCTTTCACATAGAATGAAACATAGTGGGAGCTGGGAGAAACCAAGAACTTTCTGAAGAAAACCTCAGTGGTTAGGAGCTATGGGCTGCATTTACAATGGTCTCTAGCCTTAAAATGCTGGTAGACATCTGGCCAGAAGCAAGTAGCCACTCAACAAATCAGGATGTGCAGGAAACTCCTCACTATGTGCCTGTGTGGAAGTTAAAAATCTCTTCTCTACAATGGTAACATCCTAATCTAATTTTCACTGTTACACAGGATTACTTTTCCCAGATGGTGAAGGAATTCCTCCCTTAAGGTAATAAGTAGCCCTGCTTCCCACCACAGTCTCTTTTGCAAGGGAGAGGGAAACTCCGTAGGCTTCTCATGAGGAAAGGCCAAATTGTGAAAGCAACTGGAACCAATGTGAGCTTTCCTGGAAGAAAAGATTAGGCACGAACTGATTTATAAATTCAAAACACTACTTATTAATAGATCTATTCACAGCTGACAGTGAAATCATTAGTGGGTAGAAGAACAGAAGCATCTAGAAGCAGCTTTTATCTTTCCCAGGAATTTTTGAGTCAAATACTGCCAAAATACAGTCCTCTTGCTCGACTGTTAGTATTTGCAAAATGACAATCAGGTGTTTAGGTCCATCCACAGGTTTTTTGCCTTTCCCTTTTCTAATATTCTTGTGCTCTGTCTTGTGAGAACTTGATCTAATAAATTCTTGTCAGATGTGTCCCTTTCTTTTTTTCCAGACATCACCATTCGATCCTGCTGCTCTCAACCTCGATTAAAAAGACAAGAACTTCTCTTCTGCAACATTTTTTCCTGCCCTTTGAGTTGGTATAAGTGATGTGAGGAAGACTCGAGGAAAGGGACAATAAATGCCTGCTGCACAAAATACCATGAACCTATGAATATCCTTACCAGGCCTTATTCAAGATTAAATGTATGTGAAGCGGTGAATACTCTAAGACCATAAAGGCTGTCCTTTGAAAAACTGCCTGGATGCCCTGCAATTTCATGTGTCTCAGGAGCTGAAGCCCAATTCCAGCATTTCACCATCCTTTCTGGGCGAAGAATCCCAGGTACAATGCAGCAAGCGCACTCCTGTTTGCAGTTTCTGACTGGATGATTTCAGGCTCAACAAATCTTTTCTTTTATTCCTCTTGTTCTGTCTAAAAAGTGTAGAGAAAGGGTATTTCAGACCCATTCCTTTGAAACATGAGGCAATACAAATAAACTTAAGCAAGATATGTCAAACAAGAAAAAGAAAGAGCCCATTGCACAAACTAGGAAAAAGGGACATAAACCTTAGCTGAATGTTTGGTTTTGTATAACAAACTTTAAAAATGTGTGCTTTCTAGGTTTTTCACACATTGCAATTCTATATTCTGTTCAAAGTCCTCTTTTCACTTGATATAGGAGTGGCACATTATGTATTGTACATTACTGATGCCAACACACAAAGATGGTGAAGTCAAAGTGAATGATATTCTACAAAATACTGGTTAGGGTCTCCTACACAATTTCCAATTTAATATGGAGCATTTGAGTATACAAATTAGGGCATATTTTCAATTATATTTCCATTAATTATCCACAACTTTCCTCATCCAGATTCTATCTTTTCTTCTTTGCCTTCCCCTACTGTTTCTACTTTCAATTTTCCATTTGTTTCCTCTATGTGTGTCTGATATTTACATCACCTGTATGTTGCTCTAGTAATCCCTTTAGAATCATTGTCACCTTCTTCTTATCCTGTCTTTAATTTAATCTTCCAAAGAACATACATATGTCCTGTAGTCTGGAGCTAACCCATCCGTGTAGTGGATAATGAAAACACAAAAGCAGAGGGAAAAAATATATAGTCTCTTGCATTTTTACTCAAAATTAAAATTATTTTATTCAATTAAAAAATAATCAAAATCAAAAAGAAAGATGTTATTTACAGTCTAAAGCAACTTTCAGGAAAGTTATGCTTTGAATGAAGAGAGATTTGAGGATGGAAACTACCTGGAGACATTAGTTTCATTATTTTTGACCAGCATTTCATTTTTAAGACACCAAGCTCCTATCTTGAACTGATTTGACAATAAGAAGCTGGAGATTCTTAATCAATCAGATTAAGATGTTTCAGAAGTGAATTTAAAACAGGGTATTTTGTACATATCTATACTGCATTTAGACACATTAATAATAGAGTCTCTGTGTCTTGGGAAATGACTTCTTATTCTTTATATAAAGGCTGCTAAGCCTCAGAATACTGTATTTTACTTCAAAGGCAGATCCTCCCACCCCTTTTGAATGAGGCTGATTTTGAGATCTAGGCTGTGTTAATGCCTATCCATACAATATATACAATTAGTATGAAGGCTGAACAGGTGCCACTATTAACAAATATGCCCTCAGATGGGATGGTCTCAACCTTCTGTGAATAAATGTCTTGCATCTGTTGTGAAAGGTCTGTGGGTAAACCAAATAGGTAGACTTTTAAAATTATGACTCATTCTTTTTAAAGATACCTTTTTTCAAGAGTGTGTTTCTTCTCTCTTTTTTAGGATATAAATATTGCCACCCTCTGTTCATCTCTAAACTTGCATAATCACATTAGAAGTCTTCCCCATACTGTACATCCACAGAAATCTCACTTCTTATCAGAGGAGGCCATCACCAAGGGCTTAAAAGAGAGATTTTCCACAGATTGTTCTCTGCTTGGTTTCTGTGAGGGCTTTCTGCTGAAGAACAGAACAGAATTACAACAGACTTTGTGATAAATTAGAATCATTATCATCACCACCATCATCATCATTATTCGTTTGGCTAATATCAACCTCCTGAAGCTTGAAATATGTACTTGAAGTTGTACAGCTTCAAAACAAATTCCTTGAAATGGTTATGTATGTATGAAAAAAATTATGGAAAAAGAAGAGAATATTCCTATTTCATGAATGAGAAGCTTTATAAAATAAATTCAGATTTCTTGGGGTTATTTGACATTGAGAGAGACAAGGCAATCATCAAAATTCACTGGTTCATGAAAATCATTGAGATCTTCAACTTTACATGTCTGCGTAGATTTTAGCTACTACAATTTTGAGTTCATCTCCTTCAGTATTTCCCACCTAGAAATGAGTGTGCAGAAGAAGCTGTCTGCCTTCCTTCCCCCTAGAGGCTGTAAGGACAGACAAGTATCTCCACTGGCTGATTTAGACAGTACTGGTTTCCATTACCTGTAGAGGTTTGTCAAACATAAACTGACTTACCTCATAGGAAACAATCAGTAGCTTTGCTATGGACGCAGTAGCATTGGGATTCCATTCTGTGAGTCACAAAGACAGGCAAAAAAAAAATGGTTATAGCAACTCAGACTTCAAGATTTACAAATCAACAATAAATCTGTAGTGTCTAAGATCATGTGGAGACAACACAACAAATTAAACAGAGGCTGCACTAAGCTTTTAGCCACATGCCACATGCAGGAAAAATTTCAGCATTTGGATTAATTCCCACTATGATGCTGCCATGCATTCAGTTTGGAATTATAAATCTCAACTGTCACATGCTCTGGGCACAAGGGTTGGAGGGGCTGCCAAATAACCCTTTCTGAACTTTATCTGTGAAGCCTTGGAAAACACATGTATTTTCCCATGGGTCATGATCAAAACTCAGTATACACAGAGCAATTCATATCTCCTGCTTGGGCCTGGGTGTAGCTCCCAGCCCAGGCACAGGGGCTCCTGCTGAGGGCAGGTTGCTCAGCATCACAGCCCCCTCCAACAGCAGCCTTACCAGGAGAAACACTGACTGGTTTTATTGTCATTGATGCTGAATGTTTATCTTCCGTAAAGAAGGAGCCATTTGTTTAAACCCAAGTAAGCTGAAAAACAGGAACCATGATTTCAGTTGGAAGTGCAAAGAAGCTGGAATTCTTCACCTGGATCACAGGAAAACACCTGTTCTTATAAAAAACTTCAAGCATATCACTAATAACCAGGTTAAGACCATCTTAAGAGGAAGGTCACCACGATTCTTATTGGACAGAGCAAATTACTCCAATCCTTTTTTCTTTCAGCTATGATTTTGTGCACTGACCTTTGGAAAGTATGGTCAAATAGCCTTAAGCAGCAGTTGTAAAGCATAAGATCATTGCATGCACACTGATTTCATTAGGCAGCTCTGTATAAATTAGCAATACTGACTGGGGGGTATGCAACTAATGGTACTGAAAAGAAGTGAAGTCTGTTCATTCTGTGTGCTATGCCTGCAAGTGAAGCCTTCCTGCCCCTCTGCAGAGACACAGCTGCCCTTCTGTGCACTGCTGCAGATGTGAAATGTTGCACAGACCCTCTGTGAGATTTTTTTTTCCTAGCAGAGACCATGCACACCATGTGAGGGAGAGATTAGTAGCCATGTGAAGTGAAGCTTTATCTAGCCCAAGTAAAGGCTTCATTCACTGTCAAATTTTGCATTCTCAAGCAAAAGCAACCTCAGATCAGATTGACTCTGCCTAGTATTTGAGCTGCTTCCAAGTAATGCAAGAGAAACAATGGTGAAGTCCCTTGTAAACTCCTAGGAGCATCCAGTATTTCTCCATCATATGGAAAATCTGTCTGAGGTTTGGTCCTTTAGCCTGTGTTTTCTTCTTTATGAATATTAGGTTTATTCATGGGAAGGGTTTTGATTCTGGCAAGTGCCATTCTCATGATGGCAGCAATTATTGAAGCAGAAGGCTTGTTGGGCACATCCTAAATATCATAAGAGGTTAGATCTATCTGATTTTTTTTTTCTAAGATTATTTCCCAGCTGGATCCTATCCACTAAGACTGTCAGTGCTGTGCTGGTAAAAATGTCCCCTACATTGCTGAGCTCCCACCATGCAAATATCTCTAAATCTTTAAACACCCTGAAGCTGCCAGCAGGTTTAGATGGATTAGCATTCAGGGTCACTTTTAGTTTTTATGGACCAATTTCCTAATCTCTCTTGAGAACACTTAGCTCTGTACAAAACTCAGGGAAGGAGGAAGAGAATGAAAGATTAGAAATAAGAATAAAATTAATCAGATAAGAGCTTAGGTAATGAATTATAAACAATCTGCCACTTGTGGCAACTGTAGAATTGTTACTAAATTATGGGAGAGGAAAACAACACAGTTCTGAAACAACCATTAAAAATTCACATTTCAGCTGCAATCCTGGTACTCAAACTTGTATAACTCCTTTTAAGTTATCCTCTAGGTCTGTTCCTTTCTATATTTCAACAAAACAATTGGAACTAGCAGGTGGGAGAGTTGTATTCTGCCACACAGTCCCTTCCCTAGATTGCTTCTAAGAAGCTGATGGCTGTCAATCCCTGCAAAGAAAGTTTGAAAGGCTCAGGGATGTGTTTTGTTTTCAGCAGCATTGACTGGAATCATGTATACTTTCTGCAGTCTTGAAGATCATCACTTGGAGCTTTGGTATCTGTACATATGAAAAGGACAGATCAAAAGGTATCTTGACATATTTTTTGCTATTAAAGGAGGGACAATTTATATTCTCTGCTTTAATTCCCCAATGTCAAACTTGATCCATAATTTTAAGTAGTATAATGGCAACAGAATGATCTTCCTTACATAGTTATGCTTACTTTTAAGAGGAACTTAAAAATACTGGGTATTCTTACAGGGTAGTCTTACAAAAAACAGAGCAAGTACAAACTTCAGGCTGTGAGTTCACTTAAACAGCAAATTACACCCAAGGGAGGAATCTTTCTTCTACTTTCTGTGGATGGAGAAGCAGGAGAAGATGGGGTTGAAATGGAGACAAAGGACAAAGTGAACTGAGTCCCAGTCTCTGCATTGGATGAGAGGTGATCAAGGAGCCTGAGCTCATCCCAGTCTTTGGCTGCAGCATATGCTGACATCTCCTTACCTCAATATTCCACTCCTTGGCTTGATCTAGGCTGGGCTTTTGTCAGTGTCTCCTTGAATTTTCATGAGTTAACTAAAGAATTGCAGCCCATAGTATACTCTTGTATGAAAAGAATTAAATCAATGTTCTTTAACTTATGATTACTTTGGCTCTATCTGCATTTCCTTCCAGTCTGAGATCCACAAAGTTGTCGAAAACTGTTAAGGTTCACTTCCACGTTGGGGAAAAATAATCAGTAGCTTGAATTAGTTTAATCCAATGCTCATCATTGACTTTTAACAATGTGTTTGTTTCAGGTTCATTTTTAGAAATATTTCAGATTTTCCTTGAGAGGTAGGCTCACTGCATACTATCAAGCAGTGGTTATTCATTATTAAGGATCTGTCTTAGCAAAATTGTCGCAGATATCTTTTTCACTAAAAATCCTTTCTTTAGGATTTTCCCTTATGGGAAGCTGAGGCCCCAGAAAAAGAATGCAAACAGTGGTTATCTGCTGCTGTGGAATGCAACAGGTGATTTCTTGATTGGGCCATCTTGAATGTTTATAATTAATGGCCAATCAAGGACTGAGCTATTTCAGACAGAGTCTGAGAGAGCTGGCTTTGTTATCATTCTTTTCTTTTTTATTCTTAGCTTAGCTTATCTGGTTTCTGAGGAAATATTTTTCTTTCTATTTTTTTTAGTATAGTTATAATGTAATATATATATAAAATAAAATAATAAATCAAGCCTTCTTAACATGGAGTCAACATTCTTGCCTCATCCTGAAAACCCCTGTGACCACGGTCACACGAAATCAATTAGTAGTCCTCTGTCATAATAGAACATGTCTCAAGTATGGTTTCAGAGGGTCTGGTACTATCCTGCTGCCTTTACTTCCTTTCACAGACCCAGTGATGGAATAGAGTGCACTTACTAAATGTGCAGATGACATAAAGCTGAGGGGGGCTGCAGCACTCTAGAAAACTCTAACAGATTAAAAAGTGATCTTTGCAAAAAGGAAAATAAGTCTGGAATTAAGAAGGTTTCATTCAATAAACTCATATGCAACACAGTTTCTGCAAGTTAGGCAGGAATACTTCGCTTCAGACAGGACAGAACAACTTGCCAAGAGATGTTCATAGGGACACAGTGGATCACAAAGGGAATTTTAATCAGTCGTGGTATATTAAGGGAATTAACAGCTCCCAAACTTGAATGTCACCATTACGTGTATGAAGAAGGAAATGATCAATAACATTGAAAATAATCCTTCTACACATAAGATCTCATGTGGGATACTGACTCTTGTTTCAGGCACCATATTTCAAGAAGAGCAGGGAACATTTGGTCTGAGAAGAGCAAGGAGATTCAGAGATCTAAACAATATGACCCAATCTGAGGAAACAAAGACTAAGGAGAAAAAAAATGAAGGCAAAAAGGAATTAATCATCTCACATAAAAAATATCAAAAAAACATAATGTGGAACACAAAATCATCCTGCAAGGAAAAAAGGATTAGTCTTTCTGGGCACCTGGTGGATAGAACAGAAGGCAATTCCTCAGTAACTAAGGGAAATTTTCTAATTGTACTGTTAGTTAAGGACTGGAGAAGTTTCCCATAGGAAGCAGTTCTATCTTTTCTTTGAATTTGTTGAAGAACAGATAACACAAATGCCTGACAGGATTGCTTTAAGTACAGCTGATTCTGCTTTGTAGTTAAAGGATAGACTAAGAATGCCTCTTGAGATGGCTTCCAGCTTCCTTTTAGCTCTAGTCTCTGTTCATTCTACCTTCTCTATGCACCTACAGCAGTATATCAGAAGGCAATTAAAACATTAAAAAGCACATTTTATATTTTTTCCTCCTAAAACAAGCAAATTAATGATACTAATAAAAATGGTTTGCTCACCGCACTCCCTTAGTGTACTCTAATTACAACACTGAAATATTTGTGCTTCATATGGGAGCTCTGCTTACTATTGAAATCCAGACTTCTGTCATCTGCTTTTTCACAGCTAAATTTGCAGGCAGCAGTAGGAACAAGGCAAGTCCAATCTTCTTGATACTGACAGCAGAGGAAATGAGAGCTCAGCCATTAGTTATCTTGGCATAAATAAGTATATCTCTTTCCCAGACTAGCAGAAGTAATCATGGACACATGATACACCATCACAGCTATTAGCCTGCCCAGCCTTAGCTTGCCTTGCCCTTTACCAAGTGTATTGAGCACATTAGCCAAAACTCATCTTCCCTGACATTTCCCAGTGCAGCTCTAGCAGGTAATGCCCGTGTTAAGTGGGTTTCTTTCACTGGAAATGTCTGCTGGGTGCCTGCATTACAGCAGTCACAGAGGATCCCCAAGCCTGCTTGCTGGGACTCCAGCCCCCACAGACTCAGCCAGCCCAAGCTGCTTGGCAGCTGAAAGCA